CCCAAGAACTCTACAATGATCAATAGCTGAGGATACTCTTGCCTTTCAATTCCCACAAACTTCATGCTGCTACACCAGAATATTGCAAGCAGCCTCTTTACTACGACTCTTTGGTCAATAAATATTCATATAAATGCTATGAGACACAAACTAGTTTTGCCTGCATATAAATATTTAGAGAATATACCAAAATAAATTCATACACATGTCATCATACAGAACACTGCTCTTCATTACTTCTGCAGTTGTATTTGCAAAGTACATTAAAAATACATAAATTATAAGAGGTATTTAATATTAAACATTCTACAGATTCCTGAGACTGATAGGGAGACTTAATCAGCTACTTAACCCAACTTTAATTGTGACTTGACAGGCTAAAACTTACGTATTTTTAGAGATAATAGTCAATTTTCAATATTGCCAAGTGAGTATTACAGCATTTAAAAACAATTTTATTCCTACTCATATCGAGTTGGACAAGCCATATTCAATCAAAAAACATCTAGATTTTTTCTATCTGCATTCTATTCTAAAATAAAAAGGATTTTAATCACAATTCTCCAAGTTTCATTTATTCTACGGGATCATACTTTTTTGTAATCTTGTAGAAGAGAATCTTAATCCTTAAATTTTACAATACTAAACATTGTAGAAGTCATGCATAACCAACAATACAATTAAAGGCTACTCTGATGGGATGTGTTGTAAAGTACTTGTCCATACTGGAAGGGGAAAATGCCAGAACACTTGTGAGCAGAATTCCATAACCTTCTAGGTAAAGCATTGTTGGTAGAGCTACATTCTTTATAGATGCTGTCACTTTTACAAAGAATGCCCTTCCTACATGTCACACTGATGAAATCTTTAATGACATTTTCTCATTTCTATTCATAGTGATTAAAATATAACTGAACTATAAATCTGAATACCCTATAGCTATATTTTACTCTAAAGATTATGTTAACTCCTAAAAGGCCAGAAAGAGGATTTATTTTATAGATTTGTTTTTGATGCATTAATGAAGCCCTGTATTTAAAAGTAAATAAATAAGGATGGCGTTTGAAAGAAAAAGCAAGCTAAATCACAGAAATGTTTAAAAATATTAATCTTAGATTTATATACAATTTAACCTTCCACAGAGTTAAGTCTTTCTTGTACTTCATAGGAAGTGTAAATATGTGTGAATACTTTACTAAGGCCATTTCTTCTCCAATGAAAATTAAGGTCAAACTTAAACTTTGCTGAAAGTAAATTCTAGATACAGATTAGCTTTAAACAAAGAGTTAAAGAGGTGCAGGATTCACTGGTTTTCTGTTAAACCTGTCCACAGCATCCAATACCTAAATATTTCCGTCCATCTCTCAGGTATTTCATGTTTGTTGAGGGAAGCAGTAACATTTATGCTGACTCACAGCTCCTCACATCACAGCACACCTCACTACTGGCATCAGCACGAGCTCACCAGGAAATAACAGCACGGCACTTCTGCAGAAACTTGGATTTTAACTACTTGCAGTGCACTCTTACACAGATATGCAAAGAAAGGAAACGTTCACAGAAAAGTTCCTAAGACAACTCTGAGTAACAAAGATTCTTTTAAAAGTTTCACTTCTAAAAAGCAAGGAGTAGGAAAAAACATCAACTCCTAAATTTATTTTCAATAATTGTTTAGTCACCTTTTAACTCTGATAACATACAAAAATCAAAATACATTTTTCAGGTAATAGTAGGACTTGAAAAAATTCTCTGTTTAGAAAAATAGTCATCACTAGGACAGTTAGACAGACAAAACATGCTTCTAAAGCCTCATTTTGGTATTTTAACTAATATAGATGTGGATTAGAAAGCAAGGTCATAGTATTGACAGATTCCAAAAATTAGTCTCTTAGTATGACTGATAATTATAAATTGTACTTCAATCTGATGCTAAAAACTATCCAAATATTAGCAAAGTTAATATTTAAAGTAGTCCCACCATGAATTTTGTGCAATATTCTTATACTTTATTTAGCATCTATATACTCTTCACTAGCTAAAATAAACCAATTTTCTACTAATTTTTATAGTAATCTGATTTTTAAAAACTTCATCTGTTCTATTTCTGTCATGTTCTTTCCAAATGCAAACAAATACACTGTGTCAAAAAGCTTAGCTTCTGTACCACTGACAGCTTAGTTTTGATTGTACCTTTTTTTCTCTCTTTAGCTTCCATGAGATATCAAAATCTTTCCTGCAGTGAAGAACAAATTTATCCTCTTCAAGGACACTATAGAGCAGCTAACATCAACAAGGGTCAATATTCAACCCTTCTTTCCAATTCCCTAAACTTTTCATTCTCACAATCAGAAAAATGCCTAAAATTCAAAATTCAGACCACTTTCTTAACCTAGCAGAAAATTCAACACCCATGAAATATTAAGTACAAAACAAATTTAATGAAGAAGTTTCCTATTTGGAAAAAATATTTCTTACCACTGCAATTCAAAAGTTTTCAGATGTTACCTGCTACAAACCAAGATTGCCTTTCTATAGATGCACATGTGAGGTATCCTTTTTCATAACTCCCATCACTACTTTCCAGCTGCCAAACTCAGACAGCAGAACTTCAAACTTATTTATGTGTAATTTGGTACCTAGAGCCAATTCATCAACTTTACTTTCCATGCACCCAAGTGAACAAGTCTCGGTCTTGCTCCAACTGCCAGCAATACATCTTGCAATCTGCTGTGAAGGAAAGTTGCTGTAACTTCAGGCACATCCCTCCCCATCCACACAGGCTGCATTCACAGCATGCCTCCACTCTGCTAATGCTGTGTCCCTTGATGCCTGCAGGAAAGCTTTGGGTGTCTCTTTCCTTCTCTCTCACAACCATGTATTTCACACTCACTGCAGCAGTCAGTCTCCAAACAAAGACCTCAAGAAGAAATGCCATTCACATAGAATTTCATAGGGTTTTAAGAATGATTAAAAGCTTTGCTAGAGAGAGATCTTCACTATCAGGTATCCCCTCGCCACTTCAGGGCATATGGCAGAAATAAAAACTTCTCATGAGAACTTGAATTTTGTTTAATTTTTCAGATAAACTTTAACAAACAGAATTATTTCAGGTACTAATTGCTAATGATTCTCACCAGTCTTCAGTCAGTCTTTTCTGTCAAAAAAAAATTACTTGTCAGATTGCTAGAAGGTGGAAGAACAAGTCTATTACATATTTTCATTTTCTTCTGAATAAATTATTAAAATCAAGCAGAAAAGAATTGGGCCATTTTATGCTATCCTTTGGAAACTTATTTTGATGCCTCTTCATATATCAAACAAATTATTAGTTTGTAACACATAAAGGTATCTCAGAAGTTCAGGAATTCTGAAGGCTTATGTTTTTAGGGGAACCACTGGTTTTATTTTTTAACTTAACTCTTCAATATTTTACTGATTTCAAAGAGAGATATTCCAAGCAGCATCTGGAAGTGGAAAAACATACTGCATCACTGAAGCTCCTTAAAAAGTTCACATTCTATGATTAATTTAATAGTTCATATTCTTTGCCAACTTTGTCTATGATAAACTGAGAAAAAAAGGGAAGAAAAGCATGGGGAAAGTAAAGCTAGGGAAAATTAGAGAACTAGGCACTGAGGTGCTCTAGAAAAGATTTAAATACCTTCAATCTTGCCTTGGCTTTGAATCTATTCTTCGTTCTTTTTTCATACGAAATTGTTTCTGCTGAAAGCACCATTCACTTTGTCCTTTGGACAACCTGAGGTTTTCAGTGCATTGGTACCATTACTTTTTATTGAATTCATATGAATATACATGGCTGTCCCCTTTTATATTTTTAGTGCCATTTAATAGAAAATAAGGCTTTTACATACTTTCTACAGGAGGGGAAAAAATAAAAAACTAATCTCCTTTCTGTATCTTTTATATTTTCCTGGTAAAAGGTAATTCAAAGGCAGCTGTATCAGAGGGGAGTCTCTTTCCATTGTTGACCCTGGAATGTCAATGAAAGCTCATGCATAATTTCCTTTCCGTGCCATAAGGAAACATAATTTATAGATCTACCTTCCAAGGAAATGAAAAACTGTATAGCTGTAAAAGACACTGCTGATGAAAAGGGGGTGTCTAAAACATCTTAGGATAAAACATACATTTTCATTCACTCACAAAACAAAATTTAGTTACTGCAATCCTAGAAGCAATTCAAAAATGTAATGAAACACTGAAAATTACAGGAAAAGTAAGCATTTTTGATCTGGAAACATTATGCCAAAGAGGTGCAATCTTTTCAGATAGCCTGTAAGCACAAAGCTCCATTTGTCTTTTAGCAGTGGTCTTAGCTCCTCTAGGCAAACGACACCAATCTTGTAGACTTGGAGACAGAAAATCATGTTCTGTTCACATTTGCCCTAACACCCTCTCAAACTTGGGATTTTGTTTTGTCTGGAGTTTGGTGCTTTAACACTAAAGTTTTGCTTTTTTAAGGATATTCCCTGCACAGGCGGACAGCAGCCAAGCCAGAGCCCTGCCTGGCGAAACAGCACTGTCTTGACTGCAAAGATGCTGGCTGATGTAGGGAAAAGGAAAACTCCTGATTGCCCTTGGGAAGGCCTTCAAGGGTTCCTCTCAGCAAATGAACTCCACCTGCTGCATCTGCTCAGGCTTTCCCACCTCAGCTCACAGGCCAAGCCAAAGAGACACGATGGTCCTTTGCTGCCCATGGGCCAGCTGGAAAGCACAGGTGGCTTTACCCTCACCAGAGCTCAGCCAAGCCCTAACTTGACTTTCTAGACGGAGATGCGAAAGGGATTCCCCTGAGGAAAAGCCTCGTCCCGCAGCTCCACACATCAACCCACCCTTGCCATGGTGCCAGGCGCTCGTTTCGGGACAGCGGCTCCTCCCCGTTTACAGCTGCGCTCCACAGAGGAGCGGGCCTCCTCCGGCCACTGCCGGGGCGATAACCCACTGGCCGGGGGGAGGGGAGGGGCGGGGTGGGACGGGGCCGTGGTGCCGCTCCGCCAGCTCGGGCAGCGCCGTCCTCGCCCGCCCTCCCCGCGCCGAGGCTGCCCACGGAATGAGCGTCCCCGGGGCGGCTGCCGCTGCCGCCTCCACTCGGGCTCCGGCGGGCGGGCAGAGAGCGCGGCTGCCGGCGCGGTCGCTGCGGCGGGAGCGGAGTGAATGACCGAGAGGAGCGGCGCGGAGAGGCAGCCCCGGGATCAGGATGCGGGCGCCCGCCAGCATCCTCAACCTCCTGCTGCTGTCCTTGCTGGCCGGGCTCGATCCCTCCAAGGTAGGAGCCGGCCGGGCGGCAAGTTCGCAGCGGCGGAGCCTGCCCGCGCACGGCTTCTGCGGTAGCGGGCGATGCGCCGGATGGCTCCGGGGAGAGGCGGGTGGTGTCCTTGGCTGCCCGAACGGCCGGGAGGGAGAGGGAGCCGGTGTCGGGAGCGGCTGGCCCCGGTTCCCGGCGCGGGCGCGGTGCCCGCCGTCAGCGGGGCCCTGGGCCCGGGCGCGCAGGGCAGGGCAGGGCAGCCCGCGGCCCCGGCACAGCCCCGCTCGCAGGAGCGCGCTGTGCCCGCCGCAGGGGGACGGGGCTGCCGAGCCCGGCCGCTGTCCAAGGCCGGTCGCTGTCCAGCGCAAGCCAGCGGCGATCCATCCCGCTCCAGGCAAAGAGGCATTTATAGTGCTGGGGGACTGCAGCAGTTCTGGGGAAGCAGCGAGGCGCTGGAAGCAGGGATCGGCAGCCTCCGACTGGAAATGCATTTGTTTAGAGTGAAACTGGAGGCGTCACGTGAAGAAGACACAATTTAGTACTACGGCCACGCTTCGGGCTGCTGCAGTTCTGTTATTTACAAACGTATTCGAGTCACCAAGAGATCACAGCTGAAATTGAAATAATGCTAAAAGTGAACAGATTTTAGCCGCACAGCCTGGCTGGTGAAGGAGATTTCAGATGAAGTCGTTTAGAAAACCGGAACTGCACTCTACCACTTACAAGCAGTAATGACTGAAAGCCCCCGGGTCTGCAGATGTCTGTAGTGCTGTATTTTATAGATGTAGAACTTGTCTCATTTGTCGGGGTTTTTTTGTGGCATACAGTCTTGTAATTGTGAGCATTATAAAAATGTGACACGAGAAAACATTGCTATAGCATTGCAGTCCGTTACCAGCAGCACTCCATGCCGTGTTGCCACAATTTACATTGCATGGCGGTGAATGTCATATTAATGGTACCAGTGAGGTACCAGACAAAGGTGTGAGGCAATGCTCAGCTCTTCTGGCAGGTTTTCCATTTGAAATAAAGATACCAATCTGTACATATACTAATATGTACTGAATAGCCAACAATATGGAAGGGATGCTCCTCTTTGAAAACAAAAACAGAACCTAAAAAGCAATTCAGTGGAAATCTGATTTACAGCTGCAGGATTCTGACTGCTTTTCAATCAGTAAGATATAGTGACAACTTAAAAAGGCAGGAGGTGATAGAGGATTAATAACATTAACTAAGAAATTAGTTCTATCAGCTCTATTAAATAAGAGCTATTTGGAAGTCAGGTATTGCCTGTAAGGAGACTCATCAGGCAATGCACACACAGGAGTTTCACATCTGTGTGAACAGCAGCACATGGTCTCATCGTAAGTACAGGTTTCTACACACTGTTACACTTAGCAAGATCTAATAAAGAGACTGCATAAAAGCAGGAAAATCAAATTTATATCCTTCTCTGTCCACAAGAAAAGAGTACAAGAGTAAAACCACTAATGAAGCCAACAGATCTGCCAGAACAATTCTTTTTAGTTCAGACCCCAAAATAACACTGGGAAAAAATGTTCCATTTTCTGTCTGTCACCATCCAGCACTGAAAAACAGGATGAAGCACTGGAATGAAATGACACAAATGAACTTTGGAAACTGTGCTTCTAGCCCTTTTTGCTGTGCCATGCTGTGCAAAGGGCATGAAAATGGCCTTTTATTCATCACTCTGTGTGACATTTTCAGAGATATTCAGATGCATTTTCCAGGCTCTTTTAACTTTGTCAAGGGTCAGGAATAAAACAGCTCAAAAGTTCTTAAGATTACATTAAAATTGGAAATCTGTTTTTTATCAGAGCTCATTGGGTTTTCAGAAATTAAAAAAAAAGTGAGATCAAGTAGATCCTACACCACATTAAACATAAAAAGGTGTCACATGACAAACAGTAATTTTTGTTTACTATGAACAATATATTTCATATTTCTGTGGAAAATTATGTATGTAAAAATTGTAACATTTTTCTAGCAGAAAAGTACAAGTTCTGACTGAACACACTTCAGAAATGAAACTAGTGCTGAATTATTTATCTTGCTTTATGCTAAATTGAAGTAAAATAATAGTTTTCTGCCCTGCAGTTTGGGAAGCAAATCTATGATATGAACCTAATTAGAGGAAACAAGAGAATGGTAAACTCTTTCTTTTCCACAAAGAATTGTGCAGTATGCTCATGCCTAGAAAGAGAACTTTCTACCTGCCCTTGACACTCACAATCTACTTAGCTTATGGAGATGAATCACAACAGATATTTCTGGTATACACAATACATTTCTAGTCATGTCCTACACAATTTTCAGGTTTTGTTGATCAACTATTTTAAAATAATGCCTTGGGGAGAAAAAAAAATCTTTAATTTAGTACCAGGCTATCACTGAGTCAAGATTGCTGTCTTCAGGCACTCATATTATGACAGAGATGTTGTGCTCAACTTACTCAGTTATTTACTGATAGTAAAGTGTTTAAGTATCGCCATCTTATGGTAAAATATGTAACAAAAATTTATGTATTGTTTATTTCCCAGTCTCTGAAACATCAAGATTTTGTTTCAACCATAGTAATTTATTGTCCATGCTCTTGAATTCTTTCTTTAAAACTTGATATAAAATATTGATCACCTTTAGAAGTTCTTCTTTAACAACTGGAAGACAGCTCACTAATGATAAATTTTAACACAGTGCTAATTACTGAATTTCAGTTTAAGATACTTATTAAATGTTATATTTGTTGACTTTATTCTATTTTTTCTCTGTATTTACATAGGATTTTCTTTAATTATGCAAGATAATATATTTCATTAAAGATTTATTTCCAACAGGGTTGCTAGACATTCAGCAGAAAGCCAGCTACAGTGAAAGGATTTTGATAGAAAAATCTTCCTTTCTCCTACTCATAAGTGCAGTGTCTTGAAAGAAGGAAGTATCCATAGGATACTAGAAAATTTCTAAGAGTTACTGCTAGATGGCATCTCTGTGCTGCTTTTCTCCACCTGGAGTTTTCTGTAATGACCTTCATAGTATGTAAAGTGGACTTCTTTTATAAGGGTTGCTTTGCTTATCATTTGATAATCACAGTGGTACAACCAAGTAAGCATTTTGTAGTGTGATAAAGCTGCTCCACATAGAAATCAAGCTCAGCATTTTTTGAAGTCTAGATGGCATTTTGTAAGTTTAATTTTATAAGTCTAAATAGATCTGATAAATATCTTCATGTTCCAGTGCAGTTAATGACCTTTAGGCCTTTACATTTTATAATGGCTTTATATCCTACATCTATTTATTTTCTATTGTTTGAATTTTGCAAAAAATATTTCATAAAATGACTGCCAAGTACAATCCCAGACAGAAACTAAGTACAGTATTATTAAGGACAGTTACAGAAATGAACTGTGATTTATATTCATTGCATGGAATAATAGATGGTTGGGAATATTAACATTAAAAAACAAAAGCGGGTTTGAAAGTAGTCATCTGTTTTTGAATGCTTAAACTTTGCATCTTTGGAATGGCTGTGTTTCTAGATTTTAAAAACCTATGATCTTCACACATAATCAGACTATACAAATAGCCACTAAAATCTTTATTTCTCCTGGATTTCAATAACTTGTCAGTAAAAAGAGTGCATGGCTTTAATGCTGATTAGCAACACAAATTAATTTATCCCTATTGCAAGAATTTACGAAAATACTATATACAGCAAAAGGTTACCACAATAAACTGTTTTACTGAAAATATGACTCATAGAACTACAATACACTGCTAAATTAAATTTTGTTACCTACTTGGAAATTAATTTACTTTGTTTCCTACAGTATTAGTAGTTAGTCAGTATGAAAATCATTCCTATTTATTTAACCTCCAAGGTTTAAGAATGCTCTAAATCATTAATTGCTGACTGTGGTCAAGTCTCACTTGGTGTCTGCTTTACTGTTTCAGAGGAGCCTGACTAGATAGCCATTGAAGAACATCCTATTACTGTCAATATGCCCTGGACACTCTCCCAGGTGTCATTCCACACAGGTATTCACTACATCATTTTAAGTAACATATATTAAGGCATTGGAAGACAATATGCAAAAGCGCACGTTAGTGACATCTGCATGAGTGCTAACTCCTCTGTTGCTATCAGATACCACATGGTCTTTAAGGGCTTTTTAAAACTGTTGATGGGAAGAGGTCTTTTTTTTTCCTCTCTGGTTAAAAACCAATTCCTCTGTTGCTCGTGGCTATTATGACTTTTACTCATTTGAATGCACTCAAAACCAATTATATGTTATAAAAAATCTCCAAAATAATTGTATATGTATACATATACACAGACATATCCTCACAGGAAACAATTATTTCTCCAGTAGAGGCATACTGCCTTCAGGTAACCAGGCTTCCTCCTTTCTTCTATATTTGGCCAAGTCATGAGCCAGGGAAACAGAATCAATTCACTAAGTCTGCAAAGAGGAAAAAGGTGAAGCAGAGAAGGCAACCGTCAGGAACAAGAAATGCAGTCTTGAAGCTATTAAAACAACATCAGCTCTAAAAATGGTGTTTCTAGTTGGCTGTAGATTTAATACAGTTGTGTTAAAAGTGCAAGTTCAAATATGTGAAATCCATAAGGGACCTATTAAGAAATAACAGGGAGTCTTCAGAGAGGCCCCAGTCTGTTTGGGGCACTGAAATCCCCTTTTTCAAAACTGCAGTATGACAGAAATGGTTCAGGGCATCACTTAGGCATTCTTAGTGAATCTTGACTGAAAGCCAGGGAAAATTCAAAAGCATTCTGTAAATCTTTGCAGCAGGAGTGTGGGACAAGTCCTGTCAAGGACCATCTTCAACAAGAACAGCAATCTATCCTACTGCTTCACTCCACAAGGCAGTAGATTTCTTGTCTAGGACCAAACCTAGAGAAGGCAAGGACTTTGTGTGCCTAGGTTTGAGTACAGAATTATTTTCATGAGTGAGAATTCAGAAACAGTGAAAAAGTAACC